TCTCTCTCTCTCTCTCTCTCTCTCTCTCTCTCTCTCTCTCTCTCTCTCTCTCCACACATATTTCTCTGTTATGTGTGTGTGATCACATATAGATTGACTGATGCAATCAGGTGGTTTTAATGTCCCAGTGCCAAATGTGTTTTATTTAATAAAGTGAAAAGAAAAATGCAAAATAATAATATTCCCAGTGTCTAAAGTCCTAGAACAACTTTATCAAATATTAATATCAAAACATTTAAATTCTGTGTGCCCACAGAGGACAGAGAAGCAGCTGGAGTCCATCGATGAGCTGTACCTGGAGTACGCCAAGAGAGCAGCGCCCTTCAACAACTGGATGGAGGGAGCAATGGAGGACCTGCAGGACATGTTCATCGTGCACAACATCGAGGAGATCCAGGTAACACAGGAGGGGGGTGAATGATTGCTTTGTCCTGGACATATGCACAAGAGGAGTTACTGAAGAAAGAAGGGTTGCGCGATATGAAGAAAAATATCACAATATTTCTGATCAAATACCTCTATTTGTATTTCAACGTTATTGTCGGGTTAACTTTTTTGTGCTTTCACAACATATTTACAAAATAATATTATTTTAAAACACTCATATTTTTGTGGATGTAATTGCTAAAGGCAAATAAGCTGCTAGAACAGTCTGGTACATTTGTAAAAATGATCACTTTACTGCAGCCTTTAAAACCAGGAACAGACAACACTTGTTCAATATAACAATTTCAGAAATCTAACACAATATCTAGTCTCATATCACAATTGGATATAAAATGAATATATTGACAACCCTAAAGAAATGTGAATTATACAGTACTGGGAGCAAAATAACATACATTATAATGTGAGATTAACTATACCTGGCTAAACATAAAACTGCTGCAGGTAAAACCAAACGTTGTTCCCCCCTCAGGGTCTGATCACAGCCCACGAGCAGTTCAAGTCCACCCTGGCAGAGGCCAACAAGGAGCGGGAGGCCATCCAGGCCATCCAGGCGGAGGTGCAGAAGATCGCCCAGAGCAACGGCATCAAGCTGAGCGCTGCCAACCCCTACACCACCATCACCCCGCAGAGCATCGACAGCAAGTGGGAGAAGGTGGGCTGTGGCCTGGGCTTCCTGGGGATTATACCTGCACAAAACGTAGTGCAGTTTATGCCCCCTTGAGTTTAAATGTACTAGTGTAGTGCAATACAAATTGTAAATGTATTGTATCTCCCTCGGATTTGGGTGTTTTTTTAAAGCAGTTCGGCGGGGAAGGAACACCACTCAGTCATATCTGCCTCCTACACTTATTTATTTGTGTCCATTTTTGGGGGGGGGGATAAAACTGCCTACAGTAAACCAATAATGGCCACTAACACTAATGCTGCTTTTAAAGTGTGCATACCAGAACTCTAAGCAGTACCCTGTGTTCAATAATCATTTTATGATGTGGTTTTGTGGTCATTGATCAGACTTATATAGACAACCTTTCCTCAGAAGCCAGACCTGATCTGTGGAGTCTGAATGATTTAAAGCCCTTCTCCAGCTGCTGCTCTCTTACAGCTGTGTGTGTGTGTGTGTTGCAGGCAATGGGCATGGTGCCCCTTCGTGACACGGCCCTGCAGGAGGAGCTGAACAAGCAGAACAACAACGACAGTCTGAGAGCCAAGTTCGCCACGCAGGCCAACACGGTCGGCGCCTACATACAGGCAAAGATGGAGGTAATGAGGATCAGTGTGAGAGTTCAGAGCTTTAGTGAAGTTAAACCCTGCTCAAGGTTTCAACGTTTTAAGACAGCTCAATGCTTTTGTGCCAGTTTCTAAATGTATTGACTCACTATGTTTATAAATCACTTGTTTTTGAATTGTTCCTTTGAAATGCTGAACACACACTGCTTAACCCAGAACCATTCATGCCAATACAGCTTCATCATATATTTTGAAGCTTCCTCTGCTGCACATTTACTGTTTTTTTGTTTTTTTAAACTGAGCTTCTGCAACTCATTGTGAGCGTTTTAATGTTGAAATAATGAAAGAAAAATACACCAATCTACCCTTCAGTCAAATAATTAGCTATTTTCACACTTGCTTCAAAAGAAAGGGTTAAATAAAAATAGATTTGGTGCTGGATTAAGGGTTTTATAAAGAATCAAACATTGCTGCATGATATGGTGGATGCAGTGGTTGCGTTAGACTTTTTCGTTGTCTGTCATTTTGACGGACGGGATCGTAAAATTTCCGTCATCATCCATTATTACCCGTCGTTTTATTTTTCATGTTTTAAAACCTGTAAGCCCCACGACACTGTGTCTCGGGGTATTAAAAAAACTATGAATGTGTCATACCCTCCTAATGGGAAGAAACTCAGCTAACTGATGAAACGAACCATTTTTACCGAAACAAAACACAAGTCTCACAAGAAGGGTCTAAATGAGCCCTGAGCGAAAACATGGTAACGCACTTGGCACAAAACTCTAGGTATAAATCGATCGATATACTTATCGGATCTGCACAAACAAGCTTAGATAACATCCTGAGAGTCCACAGATTATAGAAATATAAGTATCATCACTGAGCGATCAGAACTCGCGACAGGGGAAGCAAATACAGACAACACACGAGTAGCTTTAGGGAGCAAAACACGGAGATATGCTCACCTTTAGCTGTTATTCTGATCAAAAGTTGTGTTCAATGGCATTAAAACGAGAAAAACGCGGCTGAAAGTGAATCCATAGGTTATAGCAATGTGTCTGTCACTTTGAAAAAAATATTGATAATCCCCAATTCAATTTTTATGTAAAAATCGGAGAATTAATATTAGCTGCTAATGGTAGCCACCAGAGTCTATCGCAGCTTTCGGTTTTGGCTACGCGTCTCTCTCACTCCTTATTTGGTAACGTGAAGGCTCGAGTGATCTGTGATCTTGAATAGCGGTGAGCGCTACAATATGAACAGGCTCGTGCTTGGCCCACTGGTATTGTTTGTTTATTTATTTTGAAAATTAACTAGCAACGCCGTGCTGTCATAGCAACTGCTAAACTACTGCAGCAAAAAAATCCTAAAGGTAATAAACGAGGTCAAATACAAGACTAAACAATAGCTACTTAATATGCACACACTCGCCACCAACTGGACAGGGGTGTGAATTACTAAATAATAGTTACAGTACGCTAGCTGTTATCGTTGTTGCATAGCAACCACCTCGCACTATGTGTTGTGCAGAAGGCAACGGAGGGACTATTTTATTTTGATTTTTTGTCCCAGTCCGCCACTGAACGTAGCTATTATGTATGTAAAAAGTTGTAAATTAAACGAGTGAAGTACATGTTATGTTATAAAGCCTTGGAGGGCGGTAGTTTATAAACCAAAGAGTAACCGCCCTTACGGGACGCTCTAATGAGTAAAGCGAACGCACCCGCAAGGACACCAGGCCTCCTATTGGTTGAGGGATTTTGACAGGGTTGTTGCACAAAAGATCCAAGCGCGCACAGCAGAAATCTGAGAGCAGACATTTCACGAGCGCACAGAAACAGCCTGAGTGCGAGGAGAAGGTTTTAAGCTGGAACACAGGAAATCTGTAAACAGCAATATATCTGAGTGCAAGCGTACAGTTGAGCAGAAGCAGAGCTAATCTAAGTGTAAGCAGGCACTGTTTGAGTGTGAGGACAGGGTTTGAGGGAAAGAAATACATCATCTGAACGTGAAATCAATAAAGTATGCTCTCAAATTTAAAGACCACGCTCTTGAATAAAGATAGGGAATAACGCCCATAGTACAGTAGATCGCCCTCAGTCGACCTGGCCACTAAGGATGTAATATAATGTGGGCCGCTGGTGGACATTTTGGCGCTGTTCCGAGTTGCGTTCTAATCTGTCAAAATGACGGACTGCTTTCAGATTTGTCCGTCATTCTTGGAAAGATTCCGTCATAGACGGAAAATATTCGGTTAACGCGACCTCTGGGTGGATGTCATTTCTTCTTAAATCAGTGTATTTGTAGGATAAACAGGATAGTAAATACTGTTTGTGTGTCTGCAGGAAATTGGCCGGATATCCATTGAGATGAACGGCACTCTGGAGGACCAGCTGACCAACCTGAGGGATTACCAGACGTCCATCATGTCCTACATGCCAGAGATCAACACCCTGGAGGGCTCCCACCAGCTCATCCAGGAGGCCCTCATCTTCGATAACCAATACACCTCCTACACAATGGAGGTAACTTCACACATACATCTCAAGCCTTAAAGGAAACCTATCATGCGATATTTAAATGATATATTCAGGGTGCGTACGGGTGCTGGAAATCCTTGAAAATGCTTGAAATTGTACGAGGTGTTTTCAAGGTTTGAAAAATGCTTTAATTTTGGGAATGGTGCTTGAATTTGGGATAAAGTGCTTGAAATTGTAAATGCTTTACTTCGCTTTTTAGATTAAAAGAAAATAAAGAAGTCGGAGCGCGCTTAATTGCTTCGCTTTTACATAAAACAGCTCCGCTCCGGCCTTCCCGCGCAATGCGCGTGACCGGCAAGTGTTTTTGTTACGTGTGTGACCTGGGCATTCTGATGAGAGTGATAGATGACAGTAGGTTGCCGTTTCAACGAGCGTTGGCTAGCAGAAGACAAATACAAGCCATGGCTAAGACGAGGGTCAAGCGAAGCCTAAGAGTAGCCTCCTGCAAAGTGTGCAACAATAACGATGCGAGAGTCTGCGCTGACGAGCCACACACCACACGAAAGGTACGCCAGAGTAGAGCATTTTAGATTAGGCTATCGTTGCATGTAAAATACATGACACTTTTCTCTGTGCGCGGCAAAACAAGCTCGCCAAAATGGCTTCACTAGTCTGGCAGTATTTTAAGTGTCCGAAAATGACAATAAAATAGCGGTATGCAACGTCTGTGTGAAGCAGAAATCCTGCAGCTCCACCCGCTGTGACGGACCGGTGAGCGGAGCAGAACACACATTAAGAGTTAGACCTAACACACTTAGCTATTTGATCTACCTCTGGAACAAGCTAAACTAGCTATAAATATATTTATTCTTCACTGTCGGGTCGCTCATTACTGGATCAGTGAGCTGCAGGAGATACTGACGGGCTGTCAGGAGAGAGAGAGAGGGGGAGAGAGGAAAAGAGAGCGGTATCGGTATCGGCCGATACTGATTCCGGCGATCGGCTCCAAATTGGCGATCGGAGCATCCCTAATAATTGTATATGATATGTTTTATAATGATTGATCATGAAGGTGTTATCAAAGCTGGTAAAGGTGCAGCTAGTTTGAATGACTTTGTATACTGCAGAGTAGCTTGTGAATTTACTCCAGGTGGAACTAAAGTCTGATTTAACACTTGATTATATTTCACATCATTCATCCACATCTGTAAAGTAACTAAAGGTATTAAATACATGTAGTGGAGGAAAAGTACACCATTTACCTCTGACTTGTGTTTACTGCCAACCTAAAAGTACCTCAAAAATAGTAATCAATAATATATTGAAAAGTTATTTGGCTGATTGTTTTATATTGGCTCAGCCAGGTGATATGGGATGCCCAGTCTACGTACAGATGGGTCACTCATTTTGAAATATTAAACTTAGTTTTCTTTTCTAACATTTTTAATTTTTCATCCTCATGTAGAATGCTATTATGAAACACACATTTGGTTGTTTATAGCATAAAGAACATCTGATTTAATGTGAGGTAGGGAAATAATCATTTGAGTATAAGTATGTGTATATAAATATGTAATTTACAACAGCTGTAAGATGCTAGAAAAGCTTGAAAATGCACCTTGAAAATGCTTGAAAAGTGCTTGAATTTGACTTTGGAAAAGGTGTAAGAACCCTGTATATTGTAGGGCCATACCTATATAAGGTATATTTATACGTTTCTGTTTTCAAAATACCAAACAGATCATGCATTTTAGCCATGCCTCATTTCGCTCTATGTGCTGTTTGCTGTCTACGGGTCTGATTCTGCTGACCACGCCCCCCTGCAGGAGAGGGGAGACGTGCTCTGATCAGCTGCTGGGCTGTCAGAAGAGGGGGAGAAAAAGAGATCTCCGTCCTCCGTGTTTTATTATATAGAGTCGTTATTCATTTGTTTTAAAGCTCAATAAATAACAAAGAAGACCTTTGACCGGCACTTTTCTAATTTTGTCCGGAAGATTTAAACTTTAACGGACATCTTGACCGGCGAAACAAACTGAAACTGAAACTCTGCCGCACGGTCCCCTCGTTCCTTGAGGCACGAGGGGGGCAATGGCCGTGGCTGTCTCCTCCTGATTGGTGGAGTTGGCCCAATAGCCGTAGCGCCACCGTCCTGACGTCAGGACAGTGTTCAAATCTGGATCAGTTTTTATCAGATCCGTTGCAGCCCCTTTTTTAGAGATTTGGGTATGGAGGAAATAGAGAGGGTTGTGTTTTCTGACACTTGGTGAGTTCCCTGGAACACCGGGGACACATATTCATGTAGAAAAGACGTACAAAAGTGCATTTTGCATGATAGGTCCCCTTTAAGGAAGAATCCACTCTATCACTGCTGCCCGCTGCTTTTTTAAGGATACTAGTTAATACTCATTTGCCAACTCATAGAGTCCTATTGTGAACCCAGAAATGTAGAGTACCCCAAAGTTGTATGTTAGAAATGTATAGAACAAAATAAATTATAGAAATGTCTGATGTTTGCAGGATCAACAATGGCAGTTTTAACTAGAAAATGTCCATATTTGTACTCTGTGGGCTGATTTTGATGAATTTTTGGTCCATTTAAAGTTTAAGGTGAAGGATCATTTAGATTGGAAAGATTGCTTATCTAATTGAAAATAAATTGTCCACAGTAGAGATATTAATTTTGAACTTGTGATTCTATATCCAATGGTCGCAACACTACTTTTGCTAGTCAAAATCAGCACACAGATACAAATGTGCCACTTTGGATCCTGAAATCACAGTGCTGGGAATTAAGACTATAAGCACATACAAGCAGTTTGTTTTTATAAGATTCCCTCTGTACATTCCCTAAGGTCAGTACAGAGAGTAAAACTCTGAGAGACAATGAGTAACATGTTCCCCCCCTTCCCCCCCCCCGCAGCACCTGCGTGTGGGCTGGGAGCAGCTGCTGACCACCATCGCCAGGACCATCAACGAGGTGGAGAACCAGATCCTGACGCGTGACGCCAAGGGCATCAGCCAGGAGCAGCTCTACGAGTACCGCGCCTCCTTCAACCACTTTGACAAGGTCAGGGGCCGAGCTGCGGGGCCGAGCTGCGGGGCCACGGCTCATTACACACCTGTCGGGTTCTGTTTGTACACACTGTCACAGAATGGTTGTAAACTTTTAAATATACTTGATTGGTATTGAATTGATTATTGCAGAAGAAAACTCCGTGGCAAAACATTTATGATACCTACACGTTATGGATAATCTCTATAGATGATCTTTTGCTAACTAACCACGGTCACATGACTTTATCATCACCACTGCTAAACTCAGAGCTATTCAGGGTGATGACGTTTATTGATTTAATTTAGCTACTTCTAGGCAACCGCCCTTTTACGACACATGGAAGCTTCAGAATTTTAGAAATAAATCAGAGCAGTAAATATAAATACATATACTCTGGCACAATGGTAATGCATGCATGCTACACCACACTCTACTAGGACAACAACAAATTAAGCCCTCAACCCAAAACTTTGTGTTTCTTTCATGGTATTGTCTTATCTATGGCATATGTATTCATATATGACTGTACATTAACTATCATAAAAGTTTGTGTTTTGATGTGAGGATTTAGCCCTTTCTATATAAATGTATAACTTGATGAATGAATGTTTAGACCTTACAAGGGGGTGAGAGAGGAGCCAAGCGTGTGAGTATCCATCCTGATTTTAGTAACTAGCACAAGTCGGGTGGGGGTGAAGGTCAGGTGTTAGCAGAGCACAGTGTTTGCTGTGGAGAGGGCAAAGAGTGAGGAAAAGAGGCAGCTTTTCTATAAATGAATCTGCATGTTAATGTCAGGACATTGATGTAGTTTAGTTTTAAAATAATCTATCTGCGGCACTGTTCACACAACTGGTGCCTAGTTGGGGGTAAAAAGCAGAATATGTCCGCAAACCTCTGTGTCCAATGGTCGTTTCAAACATTGGCTCTTTGAGGGGAAGGGAGTGGGTGGGCATCCCCATCATTCACCATCTCACACCACTATGTGTGTGTCACTGTGTGTCACTCTGTTTCCTGTGGTCACCCATCACATCAGTGTTATTCTACAGCATGATACTAGAACCTTTTAAATGTCCCACAATCTACAACGTGAACCTCTTTTTAAATAGAGGACATACTGACTCCTCGATTATTATATTCTAATATAATATATTTTAGAAGAATGCATGTGGCTCTCAATAACCCATTTATAGTATTCTTCTGTATTACCAAGCAGAAACCCTTTCAGTTTTTTCAAAGTGAATTTTTAGTATAAACCATTTATAAGTGTTTCATTATTACCTCGAGATGTGTTGAAAAGGAGTCTGGGGGCCATCATGACTTCCTGTTGAGTTCTGTGTGTTGACATTGTCTAAACATCAGTGAATGTCTGTGTGTCTCCATCCTCCATGTCTCCATCTCCTCCCTGCATGCTGTGGATCTCATGGTCACCACCATCCCTATGTTGTGATTGGTTCATCCTCATGACGTGGCGCTCTGTCATTGGCTGTTTGGCTGGTCTCAGGATCACAGCGGGGCTCTGATGGCCGAAGAGTTCAAGGCCTGTCTGATCAGTCTGGGCTACGATGTGGAGAACAACAAGCAGGTAGGATCTGCAGTGTGGGCGGAGCCAAGAGGTGGGGTTAGACTCTGAGCAGAGAGGTGGGGTTAGACTCTGAGCAAAGAGGTGGGGTTAGACTCTGAGCAAAGAGGTGGGGTTAGCCTCTGAGCAGAGAGGTGGGGTTAGACTCTGAGCAAAGAGGTGGGGTTAGACTCTGAGCAAAAGAGGTGGGGTTAGCCTCTGAGCAGAGAGGTGGGGTTAGACTCTGAGCAAAGAGGTGGGGTTAGACTCTGAGCAAAGAGGTGGGGTTAGCCTCTGAGCAGGAGCGCTGACCACACACTGAAGCTGTCTGAAGCAGGGATCTCTTATCTGGAAGTTATACAAAATCTCCCTACACTCTTACTGTGAGGAGCCAGAGACAGAGAAATTAATATTTTAGCAATGTAATACATTACAAACAATTGAAGCATATACTGGATTGTCATCCCTGTTTTACAAAACATTTTTGCCTGATTTTGAGATGTTAATGAAGGTGCTCTGATGAGGTCAAAACTATATTTGTCTGGTAAATCAATTCACTTCTGTAAACAAAAATGTGATGCAAATAAATGTTACCGTTTACAGTTGGAATAGGCCTTAATTGACTTTTATTTTACTAAATATTTACCAGTTCGTACTGTCACATTTGGTAATAATTTGTGATTTATTACAATTGACCTTGAACATGGGCTTGAACAAGACAATAACGTCAGACAGTGCATGTGCAATCTCTAAACATCTAGATTATTGATAAAATTGGATTTGTTATTTTCAGATTTAAAGAAACATAATCCCAGATGTCCTGCTATATTTAGATGATGGAATGCTTCATTGATCATGTTCATCTGATATGAAGGAAACCAGACACAGTAGAGTGGTCAGTGCTGAGTCAGCGCTCCTGCTCTGGGGTCCCGCGGGGGTCCGTCCCTCAGCATGGAGGCAGAGATGCTGCGTCCCTGTTTGTCCACCTGGGGGCTTTGTGCTTCAGCTGGATCAGGCTCCCTCTCACTCTCTGAACAGCCCCCCCCCCCCCCCCGCCCTCCCTCCCTTCTCCTGTCTGTCCGTCAGGTTTAACTTTTGCTGTTAACTGTTTGTGCTTTTTATCTTTTTTTCACACCCCTCCAACATTTTCTCTACAACATCTCTGTTTCTGTGCACCACTCCTCCTCTATCTTCATCCTCTCCTTCCTCCTCCTCTCTGCCACCTGTGTCTCTCTCCCCTTATCACCTGGGCCTTGGCTGTGGCGCCACAGAAGAGATCGGGACTGATGGTCTCAGAGGATTTCCGGGCTCTACTCATTTCTACAGGATACAGCCTGGTACTGCTGCTGGCATGATGCTGTCGGGGGTCAGCAGGGCCACGAACATCTGAACTCAATTTAGTTTGTCTTGAAATGACCACACCAAGTCTGGGAAGATGTTAAAGATGTGTGCCATCATGCTACATTTCCAGTAAGCAATCAACTCCTTATGAGAAGGGCTGGAGATCTGTATTGCAGAGTAATCACCAACATATCTCTTCATTTTGGTCAGCATTTACATTTTCTCTTAAATCAACATTTTAGTAGACTACCTGGCCTTTTGGTTTGATTTTTGAAGAAACAAAGGAATACAAAATAAACAATAGTATTTCTTATTTTATTGCAAAGCTCAATATTGTTTTTGAAAATATTTCCAAACTACAGTCTTGCTCAGTTTAGTTGTTGTTGTTCTGGCTTAAATCTGAGTTGACCCTGCTGACACCCTGCTCTCCCCCCTGATCCTCTCGCTGCTTTTATTCTATCTGTTGCTTTGTACCTGCTCCTCTGCTGCTTTAGTTGACTATTGAGCATCCAAATGACACAGTCCTTAGTGTCCTCATATGTCTGTGTTTCTCATTGGTATTAAACAGTGTTATGTATGTATTTGCATGTGATAAATGTGAAATGTAAAATATTGGGACCGGCAAAAACCAAAATCTCCAGCTCAGTCATTAATGGAGGTCCTGATGTTTTGCACACTGTGTGTCCCCACCTGTCCCTGCGTGTGTGTACAAAATGCTGTCTCCTGGTTAATCTGTTGTTTTTTCGGTTGCCAGGGAGACAGTGAGTTTGCTCGCATCATGAGCATAGTGGAACCCCAACAACAGCGGAGCCGTCACTTCCAAGCCTTCATCGACTTCATGTCCAGGGGAAACGACTGACACGGGACACCGCAGACCAGGTCATCGCCTCCTTCAAGATCCTGGCCGCTGACAAGGTGTGTGTGTGTGTGTGTGTGTGTGTGTGTGTGGGTATTTATACAGTGATGAGTAGGGATGGGTATCGAGAACCAGTACTAAGTCAGTACCGGTAGCCGATTGGACGGCATCGGTATACTGTTACACAAACGGTGCTGCTATCGGTATATGAATTACGCTACTTTCTTAGTTTAAACAATTCTGGTTGTTTGGGAACCCTCATCCCGTGTGACGTATCCGGTTTGAGTACCACTCTGATTGGCCACTGTGAATGCCACTCGTCATCTCTCCTAACAGCGCTCTTATTATTGTGAGACTCCCGTCCCAGGGGCAGACCATAGGGGCAGACGCAACATCTTGCTAGAAACAGCGTCTCAAGGCTTCTTAACATTTCATTTATTAATGATGCATACCCACTTAACGGGAAAAACTCAGCTAACAGACGATATTAACCATTTTACCTACACGGAACAGAAGTCCAACACCAAGAGTCTAAATCAGGGGTGGGGAACCTTTTTCATCTCAAGGGCCATTTCAATTTTTACAACATCCTCGAGGGCCGTACAAATGATTGACCTCTGCTTAAAAATACTAAAATCACAGCCCATTCATTTGGCCTTTCTTTCATGCTGTGCAAAGAAAAAGCAACCTCTTAATCCAGATATCTCACCATGACTCGCGCATGCATGCACGTGCACGGTTGTTAAGAGCATCAATCTGGTGCACTTTGAGAGCAACATGAAGAGATCTATGGATACATCTCTCAACACCATATGAAACAGAACTGTACGCAGATTACATTTTTCTTTATGGATATTTTACAAATCACTCTCCTTTCAAACTGTATTCTTGTTTATTAATAACAACTTTTTTTTACTGTCGTATAGTATTTTATACCAGTTTTTACTTTATTCTCCAGTTTTGTTATAACTATAATGATCATATAAAGATGTGCCTTTACCTCACTGGTTGTAGAAAAAGCTTCTTATATTCGTTAGCATAGTTAGCTAACCAGATGCTAATAACAACCGGCCCACCGGGAAAACTCCCGGCATTCCCAATGGCCAGTCCGCCCCTGCTTACAACTAAAGACACAGCCACGCAAAAACTGCGCCATCTGTACAGCTCTTTATGGGTACTGCAATTTTTGAAGCGCCCGAGCGGCGTTCCAATGCTCTCCGTCAGAACTACACCCCTTTCAGACGAGACATATACCACGTGATGACACGTTAGGCTCGTGTTGTGTTCAAGAACCCTGACCTTGGCCAGGAAAAACAGGCACTCGCTTTTTTAATTATTTTGCAGTCTAGATTTCTTTAAAAAAAAAAATGTGCGTATTTAAAAATGACCTCGAGGGCCATATAAAATCGTCTCGCGGGCCGTATACGGCCCGGGGACCGGAGGTTCCCCACCCCTGGTCTAAATCAACACTTAGCGAAACGGGCTAACGGGGCTAACGGCTACTTTAGCACATAACTGGCAAAAGCGATCTTTTCTACGTCATGTTATCTGCACAAACGACATATCACATGAAAGCTGAGATTCCACAGATTCCATTGGTATAAAACTCACTGAACTAGCAGCCAGGAAAGAGCAAGAAAACAACTTCACTTCACGTTTAGCCATGAGGATAATTATGTCTTACCTTTGCTGTTTTGTGATCAAAAGTTGTGTTCAAGGGCATAAAAAACGGTTAATCCAATGTCTCTGTGTAACTTTAAAATGATTACTGATAATCCATCATTACAATTATAAATAATAAACGCAATAAACTGATTATAATGGTTAGCCGACTGGAGCTTCGGTTTATGAGGTGCGCACGCACAGTAGCGTGGCGTGGGGAAAAATGTAGGGAAGCCCATTTTTTTTGGGTTGGGGGTTGGGGGGTGGTCAATAACGTAACCAGATGAGTGATTACAGCGCCCGGTATCATTTACACACATTTGTATCACACAGATGCAGGACTTGCACACGCCTGTTATCTAACCGACAGGTCCGCACCCACTCTCCAGCCGAAACTCTCTCGTCTTATTAATTTAAGCATTTTCTTATTAATTTATGCAGACACACCCCCCCCCCCCAAATGCAATACCAGCCGCTCAATGCGCAGTGCAGATTCGGTAATGAATAAAAAAAGAAGCATTCATTCACAAAGTAAATCAGGAGACCTTTAAAGTTTTACTTTCACATCAAAGTATCAGTAGGCGTGTATGAAACACATGAATTCAAAAACAATTATGTACAGAAACATTTGCATGCGATAGTCCACCTTCTCTTCCCTTCCCTTTCTAACACACGGCAAGTGCAGCAACAGTCCTCGTCTCTGTAATTAGCTCAGTCCGTAGTCCAAAAGTAATTAAAAAATATAAACAATCTCATCTATTCAGGTGAGGCCCTATATGGAATAAATAATGCTTCATTTGCTTGATCATTTCAAACGGCGGTGATGACAGTTACAGTAGGCTACTACAGTACGTAGTAAAACTGATGTTGATGTGATTTGATTGGATGGCAGTGTCCAATCAAATCGCCAGCCGCCTCTGAAGGGAAGCCAGAGGCGGCTGGCTTCCCTTGGCATGGCCCTGACCAATCACAGGTTGGCAGGGGCATCACGTGGGCCTCATCTGATTGGTCAATCCCTCAATTTTTTTCACCAAGGGAAGCCCGATTCGGCTGGCCTCCTCTCGCAACAGTGAATGCAATCTACTGTTTCACCATAACATCTAGAGGGGCGCTGTTTGTTTCACTCTTTGTAAAATACTCAATGAGAGTGGGGGAGAGACGGGCCGGCAGCAACACACAGCAAAGGAGAATTATCGAAACAAAACAAAGTGTTTTTATTTATTTATTTAAATTATAACTACAATCCAAAAAAACAGGGGAAGCCTGGCTTCCCTTGGCCTCCGGGAGAAAACGCCACTGCGCACGCAGCATCTCGTTTTGAATAATGGTCATGTTTACATGGATTTATGAACTGCCCCTAATTACCGCCCCCCTTCCAGAGACACACTGTCAAACACACTCACACCTGCTTGGTATGACATTGAAAAAGTTACATTAAATAATAAATACAAATAAATTACAATAAAATGACTGTTTAATCTTCACATCTTGTAATCATGTCTATAATTTGAGCACCAAATTATTGAAAAGTATCGAAAGATACCGGTATCGGTATCGATGAAATCCTAACGATACCCATTCCTAGTGATGAGTGTGTGTGTGTGTGTGTTTTATCACACAGAATTATATAGCTTCCCGTTTTTAAAGCAACAACAACAAAAATCACAATGGTTCTTGTGCAGGAGTCTGTATGAAGCATAAAGCTCACACTAACAGAACAAATATGATTCTTGGTTCTGATTTGGCAAAGAAAACCAGATGCTAAAGATAATGTATTTGAGATGGAAGCTTTTGGATATTTCCCTCCTTTTATCCCATCTCTTTCAAACTGCAGTACATTCAAACTTAATTGGACAAACAAAAACAATAACCTTTAATTCTCAAATTAATCTTTTGTATAAACAATTTTGTAAGTTATTCTGTCACATTGTGATATATTGTAAGTACCTTCCTCTTTGTGTCCATCAGACCTTCATCACGGCCCGAGGAGCTGCGGAGGGAGCTCCCCCCCCGACCAGGCGGAGTACTGCAATCGCCCGCATGGCGCCCTACACGGGGCCCGACGCCGCCCCCGGGGCCCTGGACTACATGTCCTTCTCCACCGCCCTGTACGGAGAGAGCGACCTGTAGAGGAGGGCTGCACAGACCAGTGGGGGGAGGGAGGGGGGGTAGAGAGTTACTCTGTGCGTAGAGAAGAGGCCAGAAAGTGAGCAATTGGAAGAATTTGATTGGTGGTTATGAGGTGCCCCTGCGTGTGCCGTTTTAGAAAGGATCAGGAGTGTTTGAGACTGAGCGTGTTGATTGGACTGTAGTTAGGTGGGCCGGGGTCGAATGTTTTCCAAACGCATCCAGAGTAATCCATTTGTTGTAAAAGGTATTTGATGAACGGGCATATCCAGGGGCAGCTGTGGGACAGGGGGACAGTTGCTCTGTAGTGCGGGTCCTTAGCTTCACCCTCTCTGCCTTTGTGGAGCTAAACTGGGGAGGGCTGGGCGAGGGGGGGCACAAGCTACTTGATACTTATGCTATTTTTTTGTTTATTTTATTATAATTTCTTTCTTCTGTCAGCTGGGGGGGGGGGGGCAGGGTTGGCGTGGGGTTTGAATGTGGCGACTGGCGAGGTTTGTGTATTAGATCCTAGAGATATATGCTGCGGGGGTCAGAAGGATGGGAGGGGGGGTGGTTGACCAACCAGAGATAAAATGACATATTTACCCATAATTCCCACGTGGCTGGATAAGGGTCACCTGTCTAACCTCAGCTCTTTTCCTCCTCCTGTCTTTGTTCATTTCTCACTTTTGTTTATTTCCTGGAGCAGGTGGGTGGTAGGGTGGGTTTTGGGTGGGGCTGGTGATTGGTGCAGATGGGGGGGGGGGGGGGCGGGGCACAGCGCTGTATATACTTTTTTTCCCAGTGCGAATCATGTCATACACAGTTTGAGTTGTTGAGAATAATTGATGGCAGGCTTCCAGTAGAGGGACATATATTAAAAAATAAAAATAAAAAGGCTGATATTTCAAAGCCAATGAGAGCGACACAGAGCAGTTTCACCAGTGGATAGGTTTGAGCTTCCAGAAGTCTTTTTTTCTTCAGCTTTCTTTTTCTCTCTGCAATGGAAATAATCGTGGAAATAGTTGGTAGCCATGAAGTGGAGCCTTATGTACCTAAGGCCTTCTCCTGTATAAATCCCATGACAAGCATCACCATAATTATCAACAAATATTTGCTTCTGTGAAACTATTCTCCTCCTGGGGTGGGCTATAGGTGCTTATTTAAATTAAAAAAAATATACATTTATATGATAGGTAAGATTGTATTGGTCAAAGTTAGTCCAGTTTTATATACAAGAAATAATGCAGAATTATATACCACGTCATTTCATTGAGACATTGACTTCCTAGATTTTTAAGAGCTACCATAGTAACGCGCTGTGGAGCTCCCCCCTTAGACTTTTGGAAAAATGGTGGAAGAAAATCAAATAAATGTGCCTAATGGTGGCTAGAGCCCTGTCCCTCGCTCTTACTCTCTCCTAAAGTCAGTCTCCCCCACTTCTTCCTGTTCTCTCCCCCATCCCTACACCCCTCATCTGTCCCTGAAGAAAAGGGAAAGAAAATATACCGCAAAGAAGGGGGAGGGAAAAGATCGGCGAGGGGTCTTTATGTAAACATTCCATTATGTGCAACTAAAAAATACTAGAAAAGGAAATTATGTAAAAAAGAAAACTATGCAATCATAATGTGTTTCAATATCTGAGCTCTGGGTGTTGTGTGGGCATCAATCAGGCCCTTTCTGGGAAAGCTCGGTCTAAATTCCAGGATTAACTGAGTCCTCTAGGGTTGTTGGCTGTTACGGGGAGAGGAGGGGGAGACTCAGGGAGGGACAGACTGGGAAGGAACTGAGAAGAAAAGACTTGGACCAAAAGCTTGTTTCTCTTCTTTCTTTCGCTTTTTTTCCCTGTGAGGTTGGAGAGAAATGAACTCTGGAATTGTGATTTTCCTTTTTTTGTACTCTTTAATATCAAACCTATCTGCTGTACTGGAAACTGCAACGCCTTCTGTCTGTAATGATAAGTGAGTTTCACAAAGCACATAAAAGTTTCCTTACAAAATACCTCTGCTCGTCCCTGGAGTCTTATTTCTTGTCTGTCTGCCTGTCTGTCTGTGGATAAAACTTCAGATATGTTGTCATTAAAAGTAAAAGCTGCAGGAAACAAACAAAATAATCCTATGAAAAGTTTTGGTTTCAATTTCAAATTATTTTCAAATGTAAAAGCTGCATACCTAATTCTATGACGGGCACATTTTGATAATGTAGCCTCTAAGATTTGGTGTGGATTACATATTTAGTCGTATGTTAAAAGCACCACAAAAACACATTTAGCCTCATTCCATGACATATCCTTTGTGAAAATATTTCAGCACATACCAAAACATTTGTGTCATGTCGTAGATTTTTAAGCTTTGAGTTTAGTCCTGGTTGCAGATGTACGTGAAAATGGAACTAAAATGTTCAAAGTGAATTTGAGTGTAATAAAAATAGGGCTGTAAAAACAATCCCTGCGGTGGACCTCTGTGAGGGCTTTAGGTCGGGGTACGGAAGTGGCAGTACCTGTGGAGAGAGGTCGGACCTGCTACTATGAGGTGTGATTAGTGCCAAAGACCGAACTAACTGAGCAGCCAATCGTGTCGATCGGCGCCTGTCACTACCCGATCGGTCCACCTGCCCGATCTGTACTGCGCATGTGCGACATGGTCCGCCATATTGGACAACTACATACGGCAACTCTAATAGGACACTTGACACAGTGGCGTTTGGCAAAGCACACAAAGAAAACTCCAAAAAACCGAGAGAGATGAGTTATTGTTATTACAACGTGACTTCACTATTATTTAACAACTGGTTTTTTTTGGGTTCTTTTATTTGGGGTTAATACATTGTCAGAATAAGTGAGACATGGTTTAACTTCTGTTAGACAGCTATCATACTGAATAAATATTTACTGTGAATGTATGCAAAAATGTATGGCATATAGCTGTCCTAACGTGACACTCCTGTCGCCACCCACCTCTCGCCACCCCTCTCGTCTGAGAAGCTACGTGACGTCTGCGTCTGAAGTTACTTTACTTTGGTAGTTATCACCAAATAACCCAGTAATGTTACAACTACTTAGTTGCTGTTCAGCTAGACTCTATTTCAATATTAGTTTTGGTATTAAAATAATGTTACACCTCTTGGTATGCCCTGAACGCCAAAACAACCACAGACAAGAATATATATTTGTATTATCAAAATGATAAAAGGCTGAAAAAAACAGGAGAAGCCTGTCTTCCCTTGGTCTCCAGGAGAAAACTATATAACCAAGTTTTCATATAGTTTTGTGTGAAATAGATCGCTGCAGTGAACACGACTTTATGTATTTGTGTATGGTTTATTTGATATGGAGGGATGCAGTATACATAGAAGTTCAGAGAAGAAGCAACCCCTATATATTGTTTATTTCATTTCATTTTGGCACCATAGCAGAGGCACATATAGAGTTAATGTGCGGAGATTATAATGTCCCGTTACTAAAATATGTATTGTTTTATGATGTTTAGTTGACAAAATAGTCCACTGTGCTACATTTTGCTGCACTCAAGCATACATCTGAAGACAAGAGTTGAGTCCCCTTTGGCCAAAAGAGGGAGTATATATATATATATATATATATATAGTAGTGATCACTTATTAATACACTGGGTTACATAATTCAATCAAGGAGTATATACTGTGTCCTCCTTCCTTTCTCTTTCTCTTGTCTTCCCGGGCTGCGACCCGACAACATGTGCGTTTCTCAGCTGCTCATTAAAGCTAACTTCGTACCTTCGATGCACCGCCTCCGACTCCCACTCTGCACTACATTGGTGACCCTGACGTGATGGCCACTACACGCTGCGGCACCTTCCCTGGTGGGGGCACGCCGCCTAGCAGAGGCTCCGTGGCCGCCGACGACGACGCCAGGGTCACCAATGTAGTGCAGAGAGGGAGTCGGAGGCGGTGCATCGAAGGTACGAAGTTAGCTTTAATGAGCAGCAGAAACGCACATGTTGTCGGGTCGCAGCCGGGAGACAAGAGAAAGAGAAAGGAAGGAGGACACAGTATATACCCCGGAGGTACAGTAAGCTTTAGTGTCCGTGCGGAACAATACCCCCAACCTGTAGTTCCTTGATTGAATTATGTACCCAGTGTTTTAATAAGTGATCACTACAATATATATATATACTCCCTCTTTGGCCAAAGGGGGACTCAACTCTTGTCTTCAGATGTACTGCTTGAATGCAGCAAAATGTAGCACAGTGACTATTTTTGTCAACTAAACATCATAAAACAATACATATTTTAGTAAACGGGACATTATAATCTTCGCACATTATACACACTATATGTGCCTCTGCTATGGTGCCAAAATGAAATGAAATAAACAATATATAGGGGTTGCTTCTTCTCTGAACTTTTATGTATACTGCTTCCCTCCAAATCAAATAAACCATACACAAATACATAAAGTCGTGTTCACTGCAGCGATCTATTTTACACACAAAACGATATGAAAACTTGGTGATATGCAGTGGTAGGACCCAAATCTCTTCAGTTTAAAAAGGGAAGCGGGTTTCAAAATGTAACATAAGGCGAGCTTTATTTACCAAAAGCTGTTGACAATGAAAAAACAAAACAAAAACCATGAATCCAAAAAACAGGTAGCACAAGGTAGCATCCAGACAAAAGGCGACAGTGACAAACATAGAGGGTGACAGGAAAGACAATGAACCGACATGGAGCACAGGGGAAGACAAGACTAAATACACAGAAGGGTAATCACAGGACAAGACGTAGCGGGGCAGGGGAGGCAGAAACACAAGGGCAACAGGTGAACACAATCAGACAATCAGACACACCAGGGAAAACACAGGAAAGAAGAAAAGACACATGAAGAACAGAATTGCAACAAAAAAATGACTAGACAGACAAAACTAAAACCGTGACATAACCACCCCCCTTAAGGGACGGATTCAAGACGTCCCTAACACAGTCCAACATTTCAAAAAGGGTGGTGGCGGGGGTCCGGAGGACGGGTTTGGACACGGCAGAGGACCAGGAAAGGTTCTTGGCCGGAAGACCCGGGGGCAAGGCAGAGGACCAGGAAGGGGTCTCGGGCGGACGCCCCGGGGCAAGGCAGAGTTCACGGAGGGAGTCTCGGGCGGACGACCCGGGGGCACAGCAGAGGCAGAGAAGCGGCTAAGGCCGCGGCGGGCATAGTCAGGGAGCCGGGCACAAGGACGGGCCGGGTTCGTGGCCGACTGGACCACCGGCGGAATAGGATCTGCTCTCAGTTTTGCAGTCTCCACCTCCACACGAACGATCTCTTTCTCCACCAGTTCACGCTGTAGCTCTGTAAAATCCCTCTTTATTTTTCGGGGTGTGGGCGTTATTTGGGATTCCTCTTGACTCATCACTGACGCTGTGGGTGTGGGACTTCCCTCTTCTCTGCGGTCCTCTGAGTCTGTAAAATTGCAAGTTAATGTCAGTTACTGTCAGTTATTGTCAGTTACTATCAACTGCCGCGATTGCTAATTGTTATCTTGCTAGCCGTGATGTCTCACAGGGGTAATGTTGAGATAGATAATGTAGGGTGATGTTACTCTATTAATTTCTTCCCCACTTATAGTGACAGCTGACACGTCTGCGTCAACCTCTTCAAATGTTGAGGTTGACGGCTCTGAGCTGTCGATCCCATTCAACCCCGTGAAAGTGGGGGAATCCTCTCCAAAAATAGCTCTAATTATATCGCTATATGGTCAGGCTTTTGGTGCAGGGGGGTTTTTGAGAACCGAAGCATCTTTTTTGGCTCTGGATAGTAGGTCCTTACACTTTTTCCTCCACTCTTCCACTGTCCGTATCTGTATCACCCAAGTCATTTATCGCACCAGTGATTGACTTCCAGGCTGCGAGTTTGTGTTTGTTTGTCATTATATTATTACATTTGGCAGTTAGCAAGTTTTATGCATATATTTCAATTAGTGTTCTAATCTCTCTATCGGTAAAATTTGTTTTTCTCTTCTTTTGGTTTCCGTTGTCCATGACTTCGTTATCCAAGTCTTAGCTTGCTCTGAATGGAGGAGTACGAGTGTTAAATTATGTAGACGTGTGTTGCTTGGCAACAATTACTGTTTTGCGTGTATTCACGTGGATTCACATGGACGCGCATCTTAAGACCAGGCGCAGCTACGACCAAGACTAGTCAGGCTTGGTGCACTCGGTGTAAATTTGAATCACTAAGTCGGACGTAGCTAAGCCCGACGTTAGAGTTAAGACCTACTTTCTTACGCCCAGCTGGCGCACTCCACTCCTGATGCTGCGGTACCGTCTGCCAGACGGCAGCAGACAGAATCGTTTGTTGCTGGGGTGATGGGGGTCTTTGATAATCCTGAGGGCTTTCTTCCTGAGCCGCTGGGACTAGAGGTCCTCCATGGATGGCAGCTCCGTCCTGGTGATGTGCTGTGCAGTTTTCACCACCCTCTGTAAAGTCTTACGGTTGAGGGCGTTGCAACTGCCGTACCAGGCCGTGATGCAGCCAGTCAGGATGCTCTCTATGGTGCACCTGTAGAAGGTCAGGATCCTCTCTATGGTGCACCTGTAGAAGGTCAGGATCCTCTCTATGGTGCACCTGTAGAAGGTCAGGATCCTCTCTATGGTGCACCTGTAGAAGGTCAGGATCCTCTCTATGGTGCACCTGTAGAAGGTCAGGATGCTCTCTATGGTGCACCTGTAGAAGGTCAGAATCCTCTCTATGGTGCACCTGTAGAAGGTCAGGATCCTCTCTATGGTGCACCTGTAGAAGGTCAGGATGCTCTCTATGGTGCACCTGTAGAAGTTGCAGAGTATCCTGGAGTCCATGTTGAACCTCCTCAGCCTGCGGAGGAAGAAGAGCCGCTGTCGAGCTGTTTTGGTGATGGTGTTTGTGTGAAGAGTCCATGTCAGGTCCTCAGTGAAGAGTCCATGTCAGGTCCTCAGTGATGTGGACACAGAGGAACCTGAAGCTGCTGACTCTCTCCACCGTAGTCCCATTGATG